TGCAGTGCTGACAGTTGTATTACTACTCTCACGCGTAAATGTACCATGGCGTGTTGTTGGTATAACTTCTGTTGCCGTTCTAACAGTCGATGTGTTACCACTTGGTTGTAATAGTGGAGTTGTGTCATCATCTGTATCCGATACACTATCCAATGAAGACTGTCGATTCCGATTTGATCTCGCCGTGCCTTTCGTAAAAACCTTTCGCTTACATATGGGACAAACGCGACGATTTTCTGTTAACCAAGGGTCAATGCAATGACTATGATATGCTGAAATAAAGAAATTTTAATTTATAAAACTTTTTAAAAACGATTGAATTATTAAAATGAATTTTGAAAAAAGAAAACCTAAAACTAACCCTACATTCTTATGTAAATTCTTAAACCAATCAGATCAAAATGTTTCGACTGTTACATTTAAATGTACTCTTGATCTGTCGAATTTAGTTACTCAATCTATCGTTTTTAGAGTAATATAATATTTGTGTAGTTTTATAAGTGGACATTTTTATTATTCATATATACATATGTGTGACCGAAAGAAGGTGATTCGCTTTTTAACCACCATATTCAACCTAATTCTTCACGATGCTATTAAGTCGCTAGTGGTAACAGGGAACATATTCAACAAAACATTGCTGACCATTGTCTACGCAGAAAACATAGAGATCTTAACCAGGTTACTACACTATATGAAAGAAACGTTTGTCGATTTACAACCCAGAGATAAAGTACTATGGCTAAACATTAACGATAACTAAACAAAATACATGTGGGTTGGAAGAAACACGCACAGCCCAATTTCAGAAACCTTTTAAGTCGGTGATTTCACTTTTGAAGAAGTTGAAAGCGCTAAATACCTTCGTCGGCGCACGAACGCAGAGCTACTACAACTTTGAAGATGCTGTAAAATTCGCAAAGTTGCAGCGATGAGATGGATCCTGCACGTCATGAGAATTCCGGATGATAGACCAGAAAAGCGTATACTCCTTTTCACGCCGTACAACGACGGCAGAAGAGGTAGACCAAGTATTAGATGGCTCGACAATGTGATCGACGCTATCAGAAAAATAGGTATTAAAAATTGGAGGCCTAAAACAACGTGCAAAGCAAAATAAAGGAAGCTGATTTCTGTAGCTAAAGCTCAACCTGAGCTGTAACGCTGATGATGACATATGTATGTATGTCTATCAAGAAAATAGCTCGAGTGTTATACTTTTCGTCCGAGATTAACCAATCGAAAATAAAAATTGCACTAAATGTAAATCTCGATTGAAAAAGTTACTCTGGATTTACCAATCGAAAGCGACATAAAATTGTTGATTTGTTGATTGCTGATTTGGAAAGGCATTGTGCAAAGAAAACATAAAACATAAGCATTACATCTCCATATTCAGAATTGTACGATATGTTCGTACTTAAAATGAACTATCCTCAATAAAACTCTTGTCTAAGACAAATCAACAATTCATGGGTAGTAATTAGAGTATGTACTTAGTAATAGATAAGTCATCATCCTTGTTTGTTAGATAGATTACGCGAGGATCTCTATAACTGCGTTATTAGATAAGTTAAATCAACAACCTCAAAATCGATTAAATCGGAAAAATGCTTCTACTGACCCATATGCTCTTTCTAGGAACAGTTTTGATTGGGTAAGTTCGAATTTAGATGATGTAACGTTGTTAGATTTTACAAATATCTCTATGCAACAAGTTTTACAATATTTTAAATAGGATTTTAGAAACTAATTAGAACATCAAGTGTATGCCTCATTAATACCATTAATTTTATAAAACCACTGCTAGTTTAAAGTATACCAGAAAAAATAGTCTTTTCTGATATTATAGCAAGTAAAACACGCAAGCCCCTGAAAAGAATTAAATTATCTCATCGAATTTATCGAACCCGCTAGGTAACGAACTAATAATAAGTACTATATTACTTAAAATCGATCGCCAGTGATTGACAAGAAGCACCCTCGGAAAAATATCTTTAGCATTTACAGTCTGTGTAAGTCTTCAATAACTGTCCGGCTGGTGTCACTGCCATCTAGGAATTGCGATGCACCAAGCGGGACTATTTCAAAAGAGTAAGCTTTGATATTTATTACAGACATCATACTCTGTAAATTAAAGCTTTGCAATTATCTGCTTCAAGGGATTCAACTTAGTACTGCCAATAACATACGTGTCTATACACAGAAAAAAAATCAACGGTGCCAAACTGCCATTATATAAGAGCTGAAACCTTCGTCTCTCAACTTCTTTACCGATTGAATAACAAACCACTGTGTCTGTGACTCAATATCTGAGTTCTCATAGTACACATAGCTTCGTCAAGATGGGATCAATTTTCCCCAAACATGCTGACGTTGTGTGAGGCTTCAGCTGTTACTGGCAGGTAACAGCTATGTTAGCCTAAAATTTACCACTGCACATAGACGATTTTAGAAGCAAATAAGATGTAGAACACTTTCTCGACCGATAAAACTTACGCTGTATAGCTTGCTCTTCTTATCTATAGCTATGTTTGGCGCAGAAACATAGATGCCATCACAGAATACTGAAGCTACACTGAAAGTATTCGGGAGAATATACGAGGTTTATCGCGATAATTGATATTGTTTGATACATTAATATCCAAAAGCTACAAGGAAAAAAATATTTGAGGCGAAAGCCAGAGAAAAAAGGCGTAGAGAAAGACCGGGTGTGGGGTAGCACAAACTGCACTTAAACGAAATTAAAGAAAACAAGTCGAAGAAGCTAATTCCAATATTGGTTGTAACTAATTTGGGGGTCCTAATATTTTAAGACTTACAAAACTGCGAATATTTAACACCAGCCTAAATCTGTTTTTGTGTATTGTAGAAGTCTAGCGCAGATATTACTAGTAAACCGAAAACAATAAGCAATAAGAATCTCCTAATATGAACAAGCAAAAAGCAGTCACCAAAAAAAATAAAAAATATAATGTAGGGATAAAATATCATGACAAAAAGGTGCACATCGATGGAATACGAAACGCTCTAGAAGACTAGGAAAAAATATATATGGAAAAGAAAGCTGCTAAATAAGCTACATATCTCATTAGCAGCAACTCAGAACACTCGCCACCGACCGAGACTGTTGAAGGAAACTTTTATTACCTTATGCTCTGGATCATAGCGACAATTGTTATTATTTATAGTTATAATTTTGTTAAAAGTTCTTGCATAGAACAAGAATCTTATATATATAATATATAAAAACTAAAAATAAAATGTGTTTATTACTAATGTAGGAAAGTTTGTAATACTTACGATGCCTGCATGGCAATACACGCAACTTATCGCCCTCAACAAATTCATCCAAGCAGATAACACACGTATCATGGACGATATCACTATTCTTAGTGTATTTTAAAATTGGCAGCTTTTTTAGTAAGCGTTTCGGTAAACGATTTCTTCGGACACGCCGCTCCTCACGTACGCACTTATAAATCATGTAAAATATCTACAAGAAAATAATTATAATTTTATTTATTTTATCTAATATTTAATTAAATTTACCATAACAAGAAAACAAAGACCGATTAAAATTGAAAAAGGTAAAATCAGTTGAGTGTTAATATTAAAAGGTGGTTCATCGTTAATAACAAGAATTACATCCGCAGATTGGAGTATTAAACTCAAGCCAGTTGTATAGCCAACAAATACAGAGGGTATATAAATACCAGTTGAATTTTCAGCTCTCATTTGTTCTACAAATTTGTTAAGCATATTAATTAAATAGCATATTAATTAAATATATATTCAAACTAACCTAAATCATCACTTTTGTTGTTATAAACAATAACACAATCATAACGTGCTTCTTGAGCATTACGCACCTTCAACTCGAAAGAACAATTATCCCCACCCCTGTAATAAAAAATAGACCATTGAATATTATTTCATTATACATTATATACTATTAATTATAATTAATTAATATTCTAGTATTACCTTTCGATAATGGCAACAAATTGGGAATTGCTTGCATAGCGTCCTTTATTAATTGGGTCAATTTTTGTACAACCTTGAAAAGGATTTGTCTGTTTACCAATATATTTAAGACCACTAGATGGTAAACTAGGACCAAATGCTGCTGGCATGTCATTATATTCTTCAATTAGCTTCGGAAAAAAATTAAAAATAAATGTTCATAATTTTCCAATTATAATTATTGAAGCATACATTATTTTAGCTTACCTTATTAGTGTTTCTGTTATAAACTAATATATGAGCATCTGATACAATACACAATCCTAATATAGCAATTTTGAAAACTACCAATTGGATTTTCGTATCTTGTAACAGCATTTTGATCTCTATAATTGTAGGATCAAATTTTAGTCACTTATTAATGTGTAATTTAAAGCACAAATTCGTCAAAGCAGAGTCGTAAAACTATTAAAATCTTTACAATGTTCCCTTCTATTTCTTAATTATTCAGAACTAAAACTCTTAAAGCGGATCAAATATTTTTTTTAAAAATCGGTACTGTATTTCACTCTTTGCATGTCTCATTGGGATATGGAATTTGTTGTAAACAATCTGTAACATAAAAAAAATAATTCAACCTTTTTCAAAATATTTTAAATATACACATATATGTAAATACATACATTTTATTATACAAATTTTAATAAAATTGAATTAAAATTAGGTTCATTGTAATTTTTAATGCACAAAGAATATAAATAACTGAAAAGTTCATTCACTTTTTATATTGTAGAAGATACACAAAAGTACATATCAATACAACTCTTATCAAATAATATTGATAATGTAACTGACCAAAATTATGATAGGTAAATTAATACAATAGGTAAAGCCGATCAGCATAGATAAAATGTTTAAAGCAACTATATAATGTGTATGTATAGTATAATATATGAATGTAAAGAAGACATACAATATTAATCTGTAATATATATATAGAAAGGTATAAAACATAAACTTCATTAATTGGAAAAGCTTGTACAAAATCGTGTTGTTGCCATTTACTAACAAGGTTCTCAACAAGCTGCACTACGAGGAATATTCTGTATATGTGATTAAACTGTATATATATACAATACCAACGAGAGGAGCATATAACTGTAGAAGACTATTTAATGTCGACAGCCACTTACTAGGCTCTTCCTCGAAAAAGAGTATTTATATACATTACATAAATACTAAAGGCTAAATAATAGAATATCTGCAGACATTTAAAAAAAATGTACTAGGATCTTTTTCGTGATAACCCTAAATGGGACTTCTATTGTAGAAGTGTAGTCTAGTATGTAATGATAGATGGCCGCAGAGAAGCTTAATCGCAGAATCATACTACAAAAATAAAGTTTAAAGGTTCATAAGTGTAATTTTGCTACTAAAGCTATACTCCTTGTCAAAGAACACAAACCCGTAAAACACATATCTTTTAGAAAATAATTTATTTTTAGATTAACGATATATACATAATAACTACTAAATATAAAATAACAGATGTCTTTCTGTCCTCTTACAGATTGTTGTTATAACCCGGTGGTACCTGCTTGTGAGGTCCCTTTGGCAGGCGTTAAACGGCACTTGGCCGTATGAAATATTCTGAAACCTTTCGCAACCTTTGTACAAAACGGTTTAAACAAAACGGGTTGTTGAAAAAAGCAAGATCAAAATTTAAAGCAAAAAAGACAATTCCAAGTAACAATATAATTCATTCAAATTTTTTCATTTGATGATTTAAACAATAAAATGGTAAAAAGAATATAACTAATATTTTTAGTCTATATATCGGGTTGGGTAAAAAGTGTTTGGCGTTCTGCGAAATAAAATAAAATAATAAAAGCTACACTAACATTTTTATTGTTTTACAAATGACAGATTAGTTAAATATTTTTTTAGCATTATTGCATTTGTATTAAAAATTATTGCATGAAATTTGGAAACAATTCGGTATTTTACTATGACAAAGAATAGAATATAACACAAGCATGTGAGTTCTTATGGTAAAGAAACTCAATCTATAGATTACATATATATAAATTATAAATAACTGTGATATAATTCTATATAAGATTTAAGAAAAATGGCATTTGAGTTGTTACACTACTTAGGAACTAAACATGGAACACAGCACTATTATTAACCATATCCATAAAGCTAGTTATAGAAAAAGCTCGACGTTGAAATATGTGATACATTTTGAGGAGAAATATTTAAAAGTTCGTAATCCATCTGCAAATAGCAATAGAAAAATGTTAAAATCCAGTCATTTCCAAAAGTCTATACGAAAACGGGCTTACTCAAAAAACATAAACTTCACAAACTGTAGGAAAACTTTACAAATTAATGACAAAAGCAGGAATACGGCCTGTTTGGAGGGATTGTAAGCGTATCATCTATCATAAACAAATATAATCTACCTACCTGACTGATTTAAATTTCCAGTCATACTTAAAAAATATAAATTTCACAAGATGTGGCAAAACTTTACAAATTAATGACAAAATCAGGGATACGGTATATTTGAATGGATTGTAAGGATATCATCTATCATAAACAAATATAACATATCTTCTTGATTGATGAAATTTCCGTTTAAATTACTGAAATTCTCTAAATTTCTGGCTATGAGTCAGAAATATACACACGCTATAAAATGACAATCGTCGCCCCTTTTGTAATTCTACCATGGTAAAGTTGTAAAATTAAACTGTTAAAACAGTTCTTTTTTTTTTTATTATGTATATATATATATAGAACCAATATGGATTCCCTCATCTGGGTCCTGGACATAGGAACATCGTAGTGACCGCCATCGTCACTCGCGGTACCGGTTTATAATACCCTAGAGACCATTAAAAGAAGTACCTTCCTCTGCTTTCTGCTAATTGCCAATAACAGATGGAAAGCACTTAGGTTATGTGCGCATTCCCCAAAACCCTTATTGCAGAAGTTGTGGAAACCCGCAGGAGAAAGAAACCATATATACATTTTTCTGTGAATGCCCGGATTTGGCGTTCAGAAGATATAGGTTCTTAAGAAAATACTACTTTGATAGTTTATCAGACTGTACATCGGTGAAGATGAAAAACCTATTAAATTACCTAAATTCGGCGGGACGGATTTAGTCTCTACTCTTCTATACTAGGGTTCTTGCGAGAAATGTGGTAGCAAAATGGCAAAAAATCGTTAATTGTGTACATGGAAATTATCTAATGGCCTACCACTGCAACCAACCAGAACCAAGAAAGTAGAAAGTTGAAAATTAAATTTAAGATTTAAATTTAAA